TTCTTCTTCGGTCGAGAAAGAACAAGTTTGAATAAATTATATTTGATCAAAATTAATTTTCTACAAAGATTAAATTTTTAGCAAGCATTTAAATCAGAACCAATTCATAAATTTGGCTGCCCAACGGACATTATAAAGTGGGTTCGTTGCAATTATATATTACTCTAACAATTGAAAAATTAATTCAAATAGTCGACCATCCAACTGCGTAAACTAAAAATAGCCGGTGAAGATATAATATATACATAATTTATGTTTTATATGTGTATAATTATGTAATATCGATGTATAAACTATGCATATGGCTAGAAAAAAGTAAACAATAAATATGACAAACTATTTGTATAAAAGGATTTTTTCCTATCTATACCATATATGAAACTTTATTACTAAAAATGTGCATATTTCCATTATTACTCGCCATGTTTATATTTTTCCTACAAAATTTATACCATTTATTAAATACTCAATATTAAGAGCTGATTCCTTCCAAATTAGGAGCCTACAAATCTGGGATAAAAATTTGAATAGTTTATTCCTTCCAAATTAGGCGCCTAAAAATTTGGGACTAAATATTTTTTCATATTCACATTAGATTTGTTTCCTCCTTTTTCTGCAGGCTTCTCTTTCCTCATTTTTCACGTATTTCTGTTTCTCTAAATATATACCAGTCTTCCCTTTCTAAAGCTCAGGGTTTTTTTGATTTGGTTTACCTTTTTTTTTCTTTTAGGAATGGCTGAGCATATTTAAATATGCAAGGCTCTGTTTTCGTCAACTATAGGGAGGAGCTCTTGTTCTTGACGGGAGTGAGCTGATGCGCTTGGGTCAACAAATTTTCTACAAAAAATCTACATATAAACTACAAATCAGTTTAAGTATGTATAAAGCAATATTGTTTTAATGGTATCTACAAATTACTATATTTATACTACAATTAAACTGCAATCTATATTTAAAAAAAATGTTGTCTACAAAATTTTCTCCTAATCTACAATGCATATCAATGCATTGATATGAATTTTTTCATATCAATGCATAGCCTTAAAGCTCTCAAAAGTGTAGCTACTGAACTGAAGTGACCAAATATCCTTCCACAAATCTACAAAGAAACTACAAATCGGTTTACGTATGTATAAAGCAGTATTGTTTTGAAGGGTATCTACAAAATTACTACATTTATAGTACAATTACACTACAATCTATGTTGGAAAAAAATGTTGACTACAAAATTTTCTCTTTATCTACAAAATTTCTACAAATAACTACAAATCAATTTTTCCAGGATTGATGAAGAACAAAACAGCAGAAGATGGGCCACCGGAGTTGCTCTTTATTCATGGTGGCCATACAAGTGAAATTTCTGATTTCTCATGGAACTCATGTGAAGACTGGGTCGTCGCTAGTGTTGCTGAAGACAATATACTACAAATCTGGCAGATGAAGATGATATACTCAATGGGTCTCATCTCTGTATTTTTTGAGAAGATGAAGGAATGGAGAAGAGAAAGAAATGGGAGGGGGAAAACGAATATGGTCAGATCTTAGGAATTAAGGGGAGAGAGAAACGTGGGATATATGGATACCTTTAATTAAGGAGTAAAAACTGCTCATTAATTAGACCCTTAATTAAGTATGGTATAGGATTGGTAATTTGGTATACGGGTTTGTAATTAAATCAAACCTTAAACATTGAGGGTAATAAGGTTTCATATATGGTATAGGTAGGTAAAAATAATCGCAACAATTTTACCTTAGTATAAAAGTGGGTGTACGTGTAACTATAATTTTTTCATAATACTATCACTTTTATGTCCTTTTTGGGTGTTCAAATAAATCCCTAGAATACGTTAAATTAAATTTAATAGACTGTACAGGCATTGGTAATGTTGTAACTTGTAATGGAAAAATCTAGGACAAAAAGAGATTCACTATCAGTAGCATTCCATGAATTTTCAGAAAAAGCTCAGTAACCTAATTTATGTAAACACGTGAGGTAATGTTAGGTAATAAATTAAGATATTATTGTTCTCCTAAGCAAGTGAAAATTACTAAAATTCAGTAAAGATTATTTGTAATCCTGCGAGTTCATGAATATTATTTGTAATTCCACATATAAAGATTTTTGTTAGCAGTGATGTACAAATTATTCTTTATTATTTACAACTAATAATGGTCATATATTTAACCCCTCATGGGTATCCTGCTGAGATATGTACTAATTTAAAATATGGCAAAATACATAAGTACCCACCTAACCTATGGCCCAAATTCCCCTTACACACTTTCTGTGGACGATAATAATATTACACACGCAACCTTTCTAAAGTGTAGCTAATACACACCACTTTTTTTCTTGACCAGCTTTTCAAAATATGTGTGAGGTCACGCGCCAATATGGTCGTGACACGTGTCCTAACTCAAGAAAAAAAAGAAAATACTTAATTTACACCAATTGATAATATTTAAAAGAAAACAAACAAAAAAGAAACAAAGCACCCCCTCCCCCCACGTTTCTCATCTTCTTCACCAAAAATTAAAATAATTTTTCCTTCCTCCATTATCACCACCTTATCACTGTTGTTACCGCCATAGCTGCCACCAACGTCGTAGCTACCACCATCACCATTAATGTTCAAAACAAATCAACAAATACCACAGTCCCCCTTCTCCACACCTATTTAAAAAAAGAAACCTTTGTTTGAAAACGAGAAATCCAGCAGCAATTGAAGAGGAAAATACTTTAAATGTTTGTTATGATTCTTTTTATACATGGGAAGAAACATAATATCAAGCTGGATTATAACTTCAAATGCAAAACCCACTTTAAATTGGCTTTAATTATTGTAGTGAGAGTTTGCCGGAAGGTGATTTGGGGAAGAAATGTAAAATATTTTTTTTTTGTGTAGGGGGGTGGGGGAAAGTGGGAGGATGGATCTAAGCTGGGATGACAAGGAACAAAAAAGAAAGCCAGATCTGGTTTCCCCTTTTCTAGTTTCTTTTTACTATCATATTAAGAAAAGATATAAGGAAAAAAATTATGACACGTGGCATTTAATTAAGGATCTCAATAAAATTTTAGAGGTTATACGCGCACAATGTTTTAGTTAAACACGCGCATGCCATCTGGAAAAAATGGTGTGTACTAGCTACACTTTAGAAAGGTTGCGTGTATAATATTATTATCGTCAGTGTGTAAGGGGGATTTGGTCCATAGTTCAGGTGGTAACATATGTATTTTGCCTTAAAAATATTTTGGAGTGACCAATTATCTAAACCAGCACCTTCTTGCATTTCTAAGCATGTATAAGTACCTTTTTTGTTTGCTATGAGATCTATTTGGTAGCAGCTAGGGGTGTACAAAGGAAACCGACAAATCGCACCAACCCGATAATCCGAGTCAAATCGAGAAAAAAAACCCGACTATGGTTTGGTTTGATTTGGTTTGGTGTTGGAAAAAAAACCCGACCATAATTGGTTTGGTTTGGTTTTAACTAAAGAAAGTCAAACCGAAACCAAACCAACCCGACATTACATATATAGAAATTTTAGATATATTTAATATATAAATATAATTATTGTGATGTAATTTATAAATATTTCTTAAAAGATTTCATAATTTTATCTTTTGAGATATTATTTCAAGGTTGGACTTACAACTTTTGAATGTTCCAATAAGTTTTATAGTCACTAACATTAGTAAATTAAATAATGCTAACAAAAGCCCAAACCAAAATCAAATCAATACTAATGCTAATAAAAGACATTCAATTCAATACTACGAACGAGAATGTATTGAATATCTATTTTTTGTTTTGCAATAATTCAGATACATAACCTATTTTTATTTTTTCTTTAGCGTTTAATCATGTAATTAATACTCCCTTATTAGTCTACTTATTTTAGCATGACTTAGTACTTTTAGATTATATTTATTTTATTATGGATTTTTAATTAGCAATATTTATATTACATAATTTTATTGTCTTTATTGTTGAATATTTTAGGATAATACCATGACATATCTCATATTTTGTATTATTTTATTGAAAAATACTTTATATAGTTGCATCTTACCAGGACTAAAGAAATATTTTGAGCACAATTTATATGTTTTGTTCAACAAAAATTTTATCGGAAAAAAACCCGAATAACCCGAAAACCCGAGAAAAACCGAGAGTGAAAACCCCGAGTTTTATTGGTTTGGTTTGGTTTTTATATTTAATAACCCAACACAATTGGTTTGGTTTGGTAATTGTAAAATCCAAACCAACCCGACCTATATACACCCCTAGTAGCAGCTATCAAGTATACATGTGGCAACCAAAAATGAAGCTAAAAATGAGAAAAAACAAAGCAATTACATGAACTTTTGAAACTGGAAAGACGCGTGTCCATGGATGTACCAAATAACCCCTATTTCCTAAACTACCCCTACGACCCCAACCTCCTCTCGCTAGCCGTTTCTATAATAGTATAAGTAGTAATAATATATATTTTTAATTATTATTGTAATTAAAAGTACTTTTATTCTAATTTCTAAATTGCTTTACAAAAAAGTAATTTTGGAGAGTAATAGTTTACGAATGGCCAATTTATTTGAAAAATGCTCTTTTTGTAATATTATAAGTCATTTTTGTTTGGTTAATCTTTCAAAATAAATACTTTATAGTGTCAAATTACGAAAAAGGATAGCAAAAGTTTTGTTACAATCCGTATTATTTAAAACAAAAAAAATTAAATATTTTTTATAAAGAGTTTAATTAATTTTTATTTAAATAAAATATAAAACATAAAGTACTAATATAGATTAAAATTCTTAACCAATACAAAGTAAAATATAGAAATGGCACTAGATAGCCACTATAAAGGACAGTTATTTAAGAATTAGCCAGTATATCATCACTTTTAGTTTTATTGTCCTGAAATTAACATTTTTAGTTTAATATTTCAAGATAAAATAAATAGTGGCCAATCTCTAACAAACATTCATAAAAGTGGCTAATCTCTAACAAACATTCATAAAAGTGGCTATTTATGAAATCCATTTGCTCGGCCCAATTCGATAACGACTACTCATCTCCCTCAGCCGTCCATTTTCCCGGCGAGGTTTTCCGGCGAAACCATTTCCCCGTCCATTGCTCCGCAAGTGGTAATATATTCAAATCTTAATTAAGCTTATAGTTGAAGGGTACAAATATTCAAATCGCATACCAATTTTTATTGAATTATCTGTATCCATTCAGCTCTATTTGTATTCTCACCAATTTTTTCAATTGTGCTAATAATGTTGAAGGAAAACTCTATTTCTTCTTATTCTTATGCATTGGAGATCTAAAAACAGATTAATTTGACGTGTCATTCTGTTATTAGAGTTGGAACATTTTTTTTTCCTTTTACATAGATTCTAACACTACAAATGGATGCTATAGCCATATGGGAATAATTAGATTGAGCTATGTATCCTAGGGTTCCTGAATAAAATGATCTTGAATTATGTGCAGCTCTTGACACCACAGTATCTGCATTTGATCAAGAGGAAGGTAGTTAGCTATCACCACCAAAGGGTGGTGTAGTGGTAAGTACTCTTTCAGTCTTAACAAGAGGTCTCGGGTTTGGGTATGGAGTCGCCTTTGGTAAGGAGTGTTTTACCTCCAAAGTAGGACTTTACGGCGCGAATCCTGATTAGTCGGGCCCCAAAACGCGTACCGGACACTGCTTGGGGGAGGATTATTAATAATTTGTTGCACTGTGGAACTAGTGCAATCAATAGTGGAGTATAACTAGTGATGGACTTTGCTTCTAAATTTACCAAATTAATTACTATATACATTTTAGCCTTCTGTGTGATTTGCAGATAAGGGGATACTTTCTGCATATGATTAGTAATTAATATCTATTTGGATAGACATAACGTGCTCATTTCATAGAACACAATGATCTAAGGGTGTTCACAACCATGTGTTTAGCGGTTCATAGTCAGAAGATCATTTTTGTCTGATTAAACCTTCATTAAATGAAAACTATAGTTGCTTGCCTTAATTAAGATTGAGCGTGAGTATGTCTGTTTTATTGCTCACACATCTGTTGTATCATACTGTTCAGTGTGCACAAATAGGTCTTTCTATTTTCTGTTCTTCAGCAGAAAAGGTTTAAGTAGGTCCATGCCTTAGACGAAACTTTTAGTCTTTGAAAACATGTACCCATAACACTTTCCTTTGATGATAAGTTGACAAATGATGAGGTATTAAACATGATCAACTGTTTTTCTTACACACGTCGAATCATATGATATTGGTTATGGTAATTAGGACCTTTTCAGTTTTATGTATGCTTCATATTTTCTTACTGATCACTTCTCTAATACTCATCCTTGTCCAATCTTCTTGAAATACAATATTTCAGTGGCTAACATTTATTTTTTTGAGAATGGTAACATGTTCAGTGGCTAACATTTATGATGTTATCAAGATCCTAACTTAGCAAAATTAGGCATCATCTTAACTTGGGAACTAATGTTAACTAAGTAGAGAAGGTTTATATAGAATCCAAGCTCCACCTCTCCCTCAATATCTATTTCATTGTAGATACATTGTTGTGAGAGATTTTATTGTCCATATCCTATTTGTTTCCCGTAGACCCTTACTTTCCTTTTATTATCCTTTCGGTTGCTCAGTGTCAATCTCTTTATTCACCACCGCTCTCCTATTAATTGTTGTCGGTTTCTCCAACTTCCACCCTCCTTTTGTTCACCACTCTTCCTCTTTTTCTTCAGCGCGACAGTTGTCATCTTCGATGTATCCATGTTTATCTTTGTTTCGGTGGTGTCTCTGATAGTCCTCATGTTTTTCCCAGATTTGAAAGTTTGTTCTCTGTCGCTCTCTCACTTATGACCTTGCCTAATTGGTAGAGTTGTAAGTGCTTCATTTACTGGTGCTAAATTTCCCTGTTCCTTTGATCTTGTAAAAGTTGTTCAAATCCGCTAGGCATCAGGCCAATCTTTTGGCTCTTCTTTTGCCGTTACTATCTTAATAAGCACGATGATCTCTGCTGATCCACCTGGTGATGAAATAACAAACATTTTGTCAAGACTTCCAGTCAAAGCTCTCATGCAATTCAGGTGTGTTTGCAAATCTTGGTTTAATCTTATTAGAGATCCTCATTTTGTTAACATGCATATGAATCAGCATTCATCATATAAGAAAAGCTACTTGATAAGTAAAGATATCTTAGATGTTGGGGAAAAAGAATGTTGCACTTTGTACTGTGATGAAACATTTGCCGAGCACAAGAACCCGGAATTTCCTTTGTGGGAATCGACTAAAAGTTTTGAAGTCTTTGGCTGTTGCAATGGTGTTCTCTTTCTTCTTTACCCTATAACTCCTAGATCTGATTGCAACATGTATTTTTGGAATCCAGCCACAAAAATAGTCAAGAATCTTAGCAGTTCTACTGTTCAGCTTCCTGACATTCCTGTTCATGTGGTGTTTGGGTTTGGTTACATTCCTAAATTGGATGAATATAAGGTGGTAAGGATTTTGTATTCTGAGCAAATGAATCTAACAGACCCCCCAAAACTTCCGCCTATTGTTGAAGTTTACTCATTGAAAACAGATTCTTGGACAAAGATTGAAATTGATCTTTCATACTTTATTACAAGCCATATGGCAAAGGCATTTCTAGATGGATCGATATATTGGGTTGCAAGAAAGGTTAATGAAACTGTATATGATGACTTTATTGTATCTTTCGATATGGCTGGCCACGTTTTTGAAGAAATAAAGCTGCCAAAGTCTTACCTCGACGATGGTGCATTAACTGGATCGTTAGCAGTATTTCGTGATTCACTTTACCTATTTGTCCATTGCCCTGAATCACTAGATTGGTGGCATATTTGGATGATGAAAGAAGATTGTTCTTTAAAAGTTTGGTGCCATCAGTTTAAAATTGATTGCTCATTCAAAATCTGTTGGCCCCTATGTTTTATGAAGAATGGAGAGGTTATATTCGAATCCATTGAGGGGGACTTTTCTATTTATGACCCTATAAACCAACAATTTCAAGATCTTCACTTCCAAGGGAATCCTGAGATGATAGAACTATTTGCATACAAGGAGAGCTTGGTTTTACTTGATTTAGTAACTAAATCTTGGCCTAGCAAATTTCACGACAATGGGAACGAAAAAGTTTGAGAGCCAAACTCTGAGGCAAAAAAGCTTCACAGGTAATGACTATTGACTAATGAGCCAGTGAAGTCCATGTGAAATCTTTGACTGATTTTCTTCTTGTTTCTGAAGGTTTAGCTGTTCATTAGCTTTCTGCATAAAGTTTAAATTTGGATTGTTAATATTAGTCACCTCTATGTTGCATGTATAACTTTGTGAGGAAAATGAAAGACATGGTAATTGTACGATTGTGTGTTACATGAGCTCTTTTACTGCCAGTTTTTTATTACAATGAATCCATGCAACATATAATCTTCTTTGTGATGAACACAGATTTGAGAGTTGGCTATCGATCCTAAGTAATGGGGCTCTCAACAATATTGCATTGCTCAATTCGAAGAATGCATTTTGGAATGTTATTTGTATAGCTTGAAAACAATTGGTCTTGGCTTATGTCCTGCTAATGCACATCTTCTACATTCTTTGCTCTCTGGTGGACCAGCCATTGCTGTTTCGATCCGTTTTCTATACCCTAAGATGTCTTACTCTAGTGATCCTGTTCTGTTATTGCACTTGTAAAAGGTACAAAATTTAAAGATCTTCTTGGTTCTTCATGCAGGTTGACAGCAATAACAACAACAACAGCCCAGTGTAATCTCACTAGTGGAGTCTGGGGAGGGTAATGTGTACGCAAACCTTACCACTACCCCGATAGAGACGGATTTACGTGGAGGGGGTGGGGTACATGCACCCATGCTCCCCTCCCTAGGCTATGCATAAAATACTAACCTTTTCAATTATGTGGTTAAATATATTTGTGGCCACCCATGCTCTCCTTTTTGTCCCCAAGGTTAGGGGTTTGATCCCCATACCATTTTTTTTGATTAATTCCTTTTATAAGTAATTACAATAAATGAATTCCCAATTTCCCACATTTCAATTAACAACATATCCCTATGCCCTTTCTTTCTTTTCAATGAACAAACAAATACAATTTTTTTTTACTTTTTTTAAAAATAATTCTCTTTTGCCTAGTCTTTTTTATTTTCTTCTCCTAATCATTCTTTTGAGTACAAACACTTTGAAATCCCTAAAAGTAAAGTACTCATGACTAGTCTCTCTCGGTTCTGAAGCTCTCAGTGGATTTGCAGGAAAACCCTGCTCAATATTAAGCGTCGCTTTTAAAAACTTTTTTGAGTGATTTTTTAATTTGCTATATAGAGCGTCAGATATTTAATTTGACTACGTACTGTTTTTTTCACTTTTGAAGCTGCTCTCTCTCTCTCTCTTAAAGAGGAAACTAATATCATCCTCTGCCTCTGCAGAAAAGCTGAAGAAAGAGCAGTATTTAAAGAATGGACTTGCACTGCTAAAGAACGGACCCTTTGATAAAATACTAGTAATTCTTAAAAAAGAAATAAGAATTTTAACTAAATTATTCTTAATTAAAATTTGCGTATTATTAACTTTGACTGATTGATATATGTAAATAAGGACAAATTTTAAAAAGTAAAGTTAATTCATTTTAATTATGTAAAAGAACACTTATTTTGAACAAAAATAAAAAAACCAAAAGACCAAAGGATTACTTATTATGAATTGGAGGGAGTATGATGTAATAATACTAGGTGAAGTACATGCTACTCTCCAAATAATGACTCACAAAGGTCTATTTTTTTGTTGTTGTGGGTAATGGTAAAACAAAGAATATTTTCAAAAATTATTTTCCATGATCAAATACTTCAAAACAAAAATGTTTCTATCAAAAGTAAATAGATCTTACAAATTTATGTGCAAATATCCTACGATTTACTAATATTATTAATAGTCTATAATATTTATTTTTCCAAAAATGAATATTGGAAAATATTATTTCTAGCAAATATTTTTTCATAAAAAAATGACTTTAGTCATACCATACCTATTATGAAAAAAAAATCAATTTCCTCATATTATCAAAAAGTCACCTAAAACGAAAACTCATTAAATTAGGAAATTGAAAAATCATTCACCTTTCAAATAGTAACAAAACTATTCTTCTTTTGGCTAGGGAGTACATAATCACATGAGCCTAATAATAAATAACACATCCCAAATCAAATGGAGTCCCACTCTGGTTTTTACACGTGGCATAACACCAGTACATGTTATGATTTTATACGTTGTGTTTCAATTTATGTGAGCTTATTTTCTTTTTGCTCCGTTCCAAAAAGAATGACATCTTTCTAAATTTAAAAACAATTTAATTTAAACTTCCATTTACACCCTTATGAGAAACTTTTATAATCACATAAATATTCTAGACTCATTTTAACTTGTTTAGGACCATAAATTCTAAAAATCTTCATTTTATCTTAAACTAACGAGAGAGTACATGATTCACATTTTTCACTTGGAAAAGAAAAAGAACTCGTGATTCACATGCAAATGGTAAAATGATTTGTGCAGAATTCACATTTATATCTTCACTTATTGTTTCTTGAGCAAAGTGCCATTTGAGCAAACCTCTGCTCAATCTTATCCTCTGCTTTACCAGAATAACTATCTGGTTCACTTTTCTTTCCTCAAGCAATAGTTAGCTATGAAAAAACTACATGTATTACAGTACCTTTGCCCACACGTGAAATCTGCTCAACTTTATGCTTTTCACATTTTTTCTAATAAATTTTTTTTCATATCCGATAAATCACCAAGGGTCAGTTGCCCATAGTTCGATAATCCGCGGACCATGGCCCGTCCCGGAAACTTTCTCCATTTAAATATCAGGTTTTTGTCACTACGTGCGCATAATTCACACATCATGCGCTGCGCTCTTACTTCTTGACCAAAGCCCCGAGGGCCATTTTTCTAACAAAATCTAAAAGGGCCATAAGTCACCCCAGACTGATCTTCGAGCCTGATGATGCAATGTTGGGTTTTTGCTCTTTGTAATAACAATTCGGTCAAACGAGCCTTCAGTGCCTTCTCGATCCATTGATCGACAAATATCCATCTCAACCCGCTTGCCCCTTCTTAGAGGATTGTATATGATTCTTCCCCAACCACTACCAAGATTAGCATGGGCTGTTTCTTCGCCTTCTTCCTCCCAATCATCATTTTCAGTAATGGCGTCTGTTTCTGTAACATCGGAATCATAGGAGATTGGATCTTCATCTTGAACATCCTCATCTTCTGATGAGATGAACTGGTCCTCTGGCATAAAAGGAAAAGTGTCACTATTTTGTAATGTGTTAACAGCAGGTTCTAGATAAATAAACAAGTTTTTAGATGGCAAAGCAAATCAAAGATCAGAATACCGATAAACAAATACCATAGTCAATCTCTAAATCCTCTGGATTTCTTCTGGCATGCTGCTCCTTCAAAGTCTCAAACTTCATACCATCCAGTGGCCAAGGCTCCCTAATTGAAAGAAACAATAAGTTCAATTAAAGGTTAGCTTAAGGTAGTGAAACAGAAACAATGAAATTTCACAATTGTGATGATACAACAAGCTAAAAACAATTTAACTAATGGCATGTTGTATTCTTGATGAACAACTTGCCTTGGCCGTTGTCCTCGTCTAAAAGCGATAAAGCAAAACTTTTCATCTTCAAAGCCACGTAGAGGCTCACCTTTCGACCGCTAACAGACCATGCAAGAAACGGAATCAGAAACATGTTTAATACCCATGTATTGGGAGAAAGAAAATGCAAGCTTACACAGGAAACGGAGACTTCATCAAATTCAGAGTGCACATTTTGTAGGGAAAAGGAATATGAGGCAAACCTTGTAGGCACGTTGTGATGTTGTCCTCTGCAAGCGTTGAACAAAATGACAATATTTTCCAGTGTTATCCAAAGGACAACTTCCATCATGCGGACACTGCAAACAAAAGAACAAATTCATTGAGATAGAAAAGTAGTGCAAATCTATTCAGGTAGTTTCATTACAAACTTTACGCTTACTGGTGCAACTATATATGCTCCATTCTTTAGTGTCGTCAATGCTTTACATTCTTTGCCAGATGCATCTTCTAGTTTGCGGCTT